CACACACACACACACACACACACACACACACACACACACACACACGATAGTTCAAGGAGCCCTGGTGGTCTTGGTAGGTAAATGCCAGACTGCCAACGGCCAAGTTTGCTCCAGAGGAAAGAGAGAAGGCTCTCTATGTGTGTCGGGAAGGATTTACAGCGTAGAAGCCATCACTATCAAAGGGGATCGGCTCAGTGACTCTGCGATTGTTTTTGTTTGTTTGTTTTGGGGGTGGGGGTTCAGGATGGTTAGAGATCTCTGGGTGCACAATAGTTAAACGCCTGGCTGCTGAAGAAAGATTGGCCATTTGAACTCCCAGAGACACCTCATACAGAAAGACCTTCCTTAAAGATCACAAATGGAAAGAGTTAAAACAGCAACGAAAAAGTACATCTTGAAATCAGAATGTCTATTCCACGAAAATGATAATAAACATTTCTGTTGGAAAAGCATCACGATTTTTATTTTATTTTATTTTTTAAACAATCGTTTGAAATTCGGCAGTTTGGAAACTTGAATCACTAGCAGCTTCATTCCACTAGGTGGCGAGCTAACCTTTTTAATGCGGTCGGTTAGAGACCCAGTCCCCTTCTTCCCCCCCCCTTCACCCCCCACCCACATCCCACCCCCCTTTGAGGTCCTGTCATTCTCTGTATAAACAAGTTACGTTCAAGTGTTTAGGATATAAATTACGACCATGCAGGCTGCCTTGGAAGGAATGTAAACACAGCACTGTGGTCGGAGCAAACGCTGAAACTGACTTTATAATTTATAGCAGGCCTAGAGTGGCTCAGTTTTAAAGAAGGGGGGTGGGGGTGGGGCGGCAGGGAGTCCTATTTAACTATGATACAAATATGATAATGGAGATACCAAAAATGTTTAAATCACTGCCTAACTGTGGAAAATAGAAAAAGGAAGTCTAAGGATTACGGAGATGGCTAGGCTTTGTGAAACACGATGTCTTGCAAACTGACTGCGTTGGAAATCTACTGGAGCACCAAAACCCTGTGTGTAAGGTTTCTACGGAGGGGTGGTAATCACACCTATTGATGGGTAGATTTTGTTTGTTTGTTTTAGGCAAGGAGAAACAAAGGTGCATTTTCTACTTAGGGAAGGGAACAAAACAAAACAAAAATAACCAGCCTGGAGTTGGAGCCGGAAAGACCCCCACCATGATTGTGACTGAGAATTTCCCTGCCCCTGGCCAGGTCGGACAGGCGTCTGCTCTGCATGGAACTGAAGGGCCCCACAGAGAGGGGGTCGCCACCTTCCTGCTTGGACCGGTATTTTTGCTCTCTTTAATCCAGAGTGTCACCAGCTGGGTCTCACATTCATGGTTTGATGTCTTGGGAAACTTAACAAGACAGGGAAGTGGCGTCTGAGGGAGTCCTGTGGGAAAGATATTGTTAAATCCTTTGTTGAAAGGAAGGAACCTGGCCAGCCCTTCAGGAGCCTGCGTGGGGACAGTGGAGAAGAGGGAGGCAAGTGTGTGCCTGTTGGTGGTGCCGCTAGGGAAGGCAGACCCAGAGTGGGGAATGGGGACTGACTGCAGCTACAGCTTGTCACTGCAAAAATAATCCTTGCTTTAGAGCGAACCGGAATCAATTGTACTCTCTGAGGGAGTGTTAAAAACCCCAGGATTCAGGGAGACTGTCCACCTATATCCAGTTGCTCTATCCGGCCCATCAATGAGTCTGAGAAGCCCTCTGTGAACACTTGCCAGTCTGCCCCCTCTCTAGCCTGTCCCTGGGCTGGTGGAGAAGAGGAGCCAGGGAGAAAGCTCTCTTTGGGTCCAGGAAACAGAAAAAAAGGGGCACAAACCTTGGCTTTTTCACATCAAACTGGCCTTTCATAATCTTGCCTGGTTTTCTTTAAAGGTCTTTTCACTTTCTGGGTTTTGTTTAACCAGAAAAGAAAACAAAAACCAAACTAGGATGAAGGGGAAAATTTCAAACAGAACACTTGTCTCCTTCTCGTCCTCTCCTGAGAAGACCCGCACTTAGAACCTGCCCCGTCTTATTGGCGGCACAGCCCCCACACCACGTCAATTAGATAGCTGGAGGAAACAGTGGAGAGTTGCCTTCCTGGCTGAAGGAGAAGGGACTGGGCTGTCCAGGATGGCCACAGAGGAAATACGTCCCTCAACAACTATTTGTTATATACATTTTATTGAAAAAGAAATTGTACATCAAAATATTTTGGCAAACTGTAAAAGTATACATAAGTGCAAATATATCCTCCATTTAAACTATAAGCAAGAGTGTGAGTACACACAAAGATCATAAAATATCTTTAAAATACGGTGGTAGAAAACAACTTCATAAAAATGTTGTATTGTCACAATACTGAAAAACCATTTCCTTAAACTAGACATGTTATTTCTAAATACTTAATAGGGTTCTTTGGCACCTGCATCCAAATGGGAGTATTTGGCGAAACAGAACTCTGCTACTGACTAGGCAACAAGATGAGGACTTCTTGCAACCTTGTGCTTGGCACTTCCTTTTGAAAAAGCATACACGTTTTCATAGACTCAGGAAAACAAAACAAAACACAACACAACTTGTCGGCTTTGATCAGACCCTGATTGCTGAAGGCAGCGGAGGTTCCCAGAGTTACATGTTCATGTTCTCCATTGGGTTAGGGTTCAACACATCCCCTAGGAAGTTAACATTCTACTCGGGAGCCTCCATGTATGCGGAGCATGACCTTGCCAGGGATTGTCCTTCTGTCACTAGTAGAAAACAGCAGTCAACAAGGCTCTCCTGGGTATTGGGGCTAAGTGACCAGCGTGCTACGGAGTGCTACTTACTGCTATCTGCGTGCACATTATGTCACCAGAGTCTGTATCGGACCCTGGGAAGAGAGGACCACGGCTTGCGTATCCCTGTCCATTCACATGACACAGGGCTTAATGTCCTGACAGACACTCTGGTGGTGGTGGTGGTGATAATATGACCCGCTAGCTGAAGGGTGGAAGGAAGAAATGCCATTAAAATTGAGGACGAAGTCTTTTCTGTCACACACTGGGGTAGAGTGGTGCTGGTATCGAGGCAATCCCACTGAAAGAAGAGAGGGGGGTTAACATCTCTTTGCAAACACAAATTCGTTCAGCTGATGTCCTGGCAACATTGCTTGTACATTTTGCTAACATTTTACGTCAGGATACAAGAAGGACTGGTGCTATGATTCATTTGCTACAAAACCGGTACCGAAAACACAGCCTGGGGAATTCCTCAATGTTCCAAACTATAGTTATGAGACTCTGGAATCACAGCATTTTGTTTTGTTTCACCTAATTTGCAGCCAGTTCCCTTCTATGCCCCCAGCCAAGTGCCTGAATGCTTATATTCAGCCCTCCCTGAGGCTTAGGGCCAGCATTCTCACCCCAGTGCTGGAAACTATCAGTTCCAGGGTTGGGTTTTAACCTCAGAGGCTCAGTGCCCCAACTGCCCTGGCCCAGGCTGCAGTGAAGACCCAGTTCCAGAACGGTCTCAGTACCTTCCTCGCTGCTTTTTAGTGTCCTTATTTTCTATGGATTCAGAAAGACTGGGGCAGGCCATGTACCAAAGGAGGAGGACAGCCATCCCTGTCCGTAGACAAAGGGACAGAAAAGAAAACCAACTGTTATCTGTGCTGACTGGTGGTGCTGTTGGAAGGTCAGAGGCTAAATGTGGGGAAGAGCAACGCTTTCCAGGAGCAGAGCCACATCCCCAGCTGAGCTCAGTGGAGAATTTGGCCAATGGGTGTGCGGAGAGCCTTCGCACAGAGCCTGGCTGGGCACATCGGAGAAGACGCTGGTGTCCCTGCCTCTTTCGGGCCTTGATCTGGTTCCCAGGCCTGAGACTGAGCAGCGAATTTTTGCTTTTGCTTTCTGATGCTCCCCGGGCTCTGGGACGGCCTGATCCCTCTGGCAGAGGTGGGACCTTGGGAGGAGGCCTCTTAAGACGGTGTTGCAGAGAGGTCTCTGCGCTGGGCCTTCTCTCTGAACCCGAGTGGAGAATGGATGATGCCCGTATGTCTCCCGTGGCCTGAATCTATTAAGGAGAGACTTAGCAGGGTCCAAAAAAAGGCCCGCCTGGACTCAGCCGTGGCCCCCGGCTGGAGAAGCCACCAGGCGGTCTAGTGGCTGATGATGTGCCCTATGTTTATTGAGCCGATAAAACCATTTGTATCCAAACTTTCGATGTGCTTCACTAATAAAGCAGCCGTAGCCCCATGGGCTCGGGTTGGTGCCTGTCTCTCCCTAGAGTCTAGACACTTGTGCGTGCATGCGTCCACAGGGTGGGTGGGGTAGCGCGGACCCTCTCGGAACAGCGGGCCCAATCAAGCGGGTACTCTCACTACCCCTCCAGACCGCTATCCCGGCGCCCAAGGCCCAGCGGCCTTCCTTCAGGGCTTCCTAGTCTGCGAGGCGCTTTAGCCAAGGCAAGTCTTGCCGGGGCCGCCATCGCTCTTTCCCCCGGTGGGGGTCCCCAGCCTCAGCTTTCCAGGGTGGGAGTGTGGGGCGGCGGGGGAGTAGGGCGACTACCAGTCCTGAACCCGATCCTGATCCCCTATGCTCCCAGTCTATGGTGACGACCTCTTGGGGGATGCCGACTAGCCCCCCATAAGGTTATTTAAGAAAGATGGGACCTAGAAGATTAGGGAGAGAGGGTCAGAGCATACCTGGCGGTCCAACCAACCACCCCCAGCCTGCCCAAATCCAGGCCTCCCAAAGGTTCAGGAAGGGGAGATGCCCGTAGGAAGGTCTGCTGCGGGCACAGAGGGCCCGTGAGTGCAGCGGCTCTCTGTTTTCCCCCAACACTAACAGCGGTGTTTCTGGATCCCCGCATTTGTGGGAGCTGGGTGTCAGGTGGGGTGGGCCCTATAAAGGGTCACAAATCTCTTTCCTGCGAGTCTTTCTCCCCAGTTCAGGCTATTGTACATAGCACAGTTCCTGCTGCAGGAGAGGCCTAGGAATCTAGGTTCAAGAGGAGTGGGCCCTGCAGCTTAGAGGGCAGTCTGGCCCTAGGGGTGATTGACAGACTCTCGCAGAGGGGATTTAAAAAAAAAAAAAGAAGGAGGAGGAACTGTCTTCCGTATTGGTTACTTGTAGAAATTCCCATAAAATTGAAGGAGACTGCTCTTGGTGGATTAAGTCAGGCTAAAATCCTCTCCAGTGTGGTCCTGCCCTGCGGAGACTGTCTTTGTTTAGTTAACCTCTGGGACCTGCATTTAAAAGGCCTATTTGGGACATTTTACCGTCAAGGGAGCCAACATCTTTTGCCCATTTCTAGGCCTCCCTTCTCCCGCGTGTTCCCGTGACACACGGACACCGGAATGGATATACAAATATGTATCATTGTGTGAAAAGTTTCTATTGAAGACACAGGTGTTCTTACCACCACAGGGACATTGGCCATCGGCAGGCATGCTGCGAAGGACCTAATGTAATGAGCTCTCTGGCTAAATGACCAAACCCCTTACTTTGCCCCTGTGCACCGCCTCTATCTTTTACTTCCTTTCGCAAGTCCATACATTTTCGTAATCTGTTACCAATACAATTTAAACCACAAGTGCCATCTAAGGGGCAGGCATGTATGGTATACGGGGCTAAGCCATGGCATTGACCTCTGGCCCTGTTAGCCCAGGACAGGCACAAATGTCATCAAAGTGGGCCCACGGGGGTGGAAGGGTAGGGCTCCTCCACACCTGGGTGTCTTGCCCATTGGCAGTATTTCCAGCTTGTGAACTAGCCCAGTCTCCTCCAGGCTTTCTCCTTGGTTCTGCACACTCTCTCTCCTCACCACCCTTGCCCAGCGGCAGTCCTCTCCCCAGCCACACACCCCCAGAAACCAAAACTGCTCTTTCTCATATTCACTTTGGGGCACAAGAAGCTAAACTTTAAAAGGCAGGCGAAGAGCGCCCACCTTCCCAGCCGGCTTGGGGCTCTGGAGACCAGGGGTCTTTTGCCCACCCAGGAAATTAAGGTGCCCGCACCCCGCCCTCTCTCTCAACGCCCTCAGGCCCTAGGCTGCAGCCACCTGGTGGGGTCAAACGCAGCCTCTGGGCCTGGAGCCTGGAAGCGGCCCCCTGCCGCCGGACACCAGGGACGCGCTGCCTGGTTACCTGCAAGATCCTCCCGGGCGTTCTGGTGCAGGTAGCTCTGCTCCAGCGAGTAGGAGGCCATGCTGGAGTGCAGGCCTGCAGAGGCGGCGGGGTTGCTGCTCGGCGTCAAGGCAGGAGGCTGCTTGAGGTAAGGAGAGGCGCCGGGCGAGCTCCAGTGCGCCGCGGGGCTCGTGTAGGGCGAGTGGCATTCGATGGCGCTCGCCATGGCCGGGGACGAGGGCACAGGGCTGCTGCTGCTGTCGGGCCCGTAGTCCCCTCCGCCGCCGCCG